GGGGCGGCTCTCGGGCCCGCCATTGTCCCGGCCGCGCGCGCGCACACGGTTCCCGGTCTGGCGAGTCCTCCTGGGCGCTGCGGTCGGGTGGGCCTTGGGGTCGGGAGGTGTGAGCTGGAGCCTCGTCTGCACCAGGTCGGGGCGGGGGCCGGGAGGGGCTGTGGCCCGTGCTCAGGCTGCCCCCCGGGCTGGCTCATCCTCCCCAGCTGCTGGGGTGTCAGCGCTGTGCTGCGGCGCAAGGTCCCCAGGTCACAGCACAGCTCAGGATTAGGACTCAGGGTAGGAAACTCACTGCGGGAGACCGAGAGCTCGAGGAGGAAGGTTAAGCACCTCTCCAACCCCCTTGAAAGCTGGAGAGCCAGCATGCCCTCTCACCTGGCCGCTCTAAAAGCTGATTCTCGGACTTTGGCAATGCCCATATCCTTCCCCTCCCACTCCAGGCCCCATTCGGAGCCCCTAGATGGGGGTATAGGTGCTGGGCTGCACTTCTAGACATTTGGGGAACACACAGGCCCCCCCATCTCGGGCATTGCCTGGACATGCACTTCTCTGGATTCCCTAGCCCTGGCCTCACAGAGGCCAAGTTGCCTTAGGCAACTTGCTTCCTTTCCCTTGGCTAACATTTCTTATCTAGTGAAATAGACTGTAATCCAGCCTCAGGGGGGCAATTGAGGGGTTTAAATCTGTCTGGCCCTGTGTCTGCAGTCTTGGTTGTTAACTCTTAGGAAGCACCCAGCAGTGTAGACAAGTCACAGGTCTTTGAATCTACCAAAGTTTTATTTAAAAAAAAAATTTTATTTACTTATGCATACAGAAATGGAGCACACGCCAGAGGTGCAGGGGCGGTGAGAGGATTCACTGGAAAGACCGGGGAGCAGAACAGGCAGATTGACAAAGTACACCGCTGAGGGGAGCAGCGGGGGAGACAGGAGAGGTCTGCTGGGCCCTGTGGGTCCCCTCCGGGGCCGGGATGGAACTCAGCTCTGAAGCTGCCAGGCTTGGCTTAGTTTCGCTTCCCAGTGCAGCCTCCAACCCACCAGGGAGGGCCCTCAACCTGTAAATTATTGAAAAGGATACCCATCTTCACTGCTGTTTTGAGGGCTGATTTTTAAATCTCAAGTACAGATAGGAAGAGGAACAGTATATCCATTCTTTCTTTACCTTGATTTGTATATAGTTTATATCTGAACATTGTAATGCTTCTTCTCAACTCCTCCAGGAATCTTAAAGTATTGTTGCTCTTTCACATGAAAGAAGCAAGAAATTGGTACAAGGTCACAAATTAGTAAATGTTAGAACCAGAATGAAATGGAAATCCAGGTCTAGGTCACAACAGCCTGTTTTTTTCTTTTTTATAGATCTGTTTATTTATGCACGCAAGAACTGATGTGTAGGCCAGAGGTGTGGAGGAGGCAAGAGGCTTCACCAGAGACAGAGCGGGGAGCAGAACAGGCGGACTGAGGAAGCACACTGCTGAGGGGAGCAGCGGGCGGGTCAGGAGGGGTCTGCCGAGCCTGTGGGTCACCTCTGGGGCGGGGATGGAACTCGTGCGCAGTGGCCCCCAGCAGCTTCCCAGTGCTGCGCTTTGACTGTCGACCCACCAGGCAGGGCCCGGCCTGTGCTTTTGGGGCGTCATTTACATTTTCCATTCTTACACCCCTTACACTGTGCATGGCCCTCCCTCTGGTCGCCCAGCCATTTGATATCTTTTGGCATTGCTGAGTGTGGAGTGCAGGGTGTTTGGGTTCACTCTGGGAAAGGTTTCACCAGACCCCCCTTCAGCGGCACGGGTTGCTCTCCACAACACGAGATGTTAGTTACATCTAAAGAGCAGGTTTTTTGGTCCTTCTTGGTGGTGCAGTCGGTTAAAGCGCAGCACTGTGAAGCTGTCAGCAGCCACTGCAGTACAAGTTCCACCCCGGCAAAGGTGACCCGCATGGCGCAGCAGACCTCGCCTGTCTCCCCGCTGCTCCCCTCAGCCGTGGATTTCTGTTTTGCCCCCCACTCTGTCTCCAGTGAATCCTCTCACCTCCACACCTCTGGCCTGTACCTCAGCTCCTGAATGCATACATAAATAATCTTAAAAAGGAGAAGGGTTATTAGAAAAGGGACACAAAAGCAGAAGACACTTGCATAGATGCAAGCAGGCAGGAAGAGCTGCCCTTGGTGGGGGTGGTTTTGTCATCTTTTGGCAGGGAGGGCTCGATGTTGGGAGCCCACAGATAGCTGCTGGTTTTGGATAGCTTTGTAGAATTTGAAAGGGACCAGAGATGCTACAGTGGCTCAGCCTTCAAATCTTGACCTTTGGGTCTGCGCTCTAGACCCTGCCTACAGCATCTGCTACCTGCTGGGTCTTATGCTTTGCAATCCAGGCCTTGGCACATAAGGGTCTTGATTTCTGTGCTTACCCCTCCTACCCTCAACTCCCTGTGAGTCAGGTTTTAATCCTGTGATGATTTTCTATTCTTTCCTCCATCTATTTTACTTTCAGTAAGAGCCTTACTATAGGTCTATCACAGTTGCTTATAGACAGATGTTACACAATTCCCACCATCAGCAATCGCTATTTTTTTTTAAGATTTATTTATGCATATAGAGCTGGGGTACAGGCCAGAGGTGCAGGGGTGGTGAGAGGCTTCACCAGAGACAGAGTGAGGACCAGAACAGGCAGATCGACGAAGCACACTGCTGAGGGGAGCAGCGGGTGGGTCAGGAGAGGTCTGCCGCGCCCTGGGGTCACCTTCTGGGGTGGGAATCAAACTCATGCGGAAGTGGCTTTAGCTTCTCAGTGTTGTGCTTTAACCCGCTGAGCCACCAGGGAGGGTCCAGCAATTGCTATTTTACTACATAAACTTTTTTTTTTTTGAATACTGTTTAGGAGGGCGCCTGTTTCTGAGCCTTATCTCCAGCTGGAGTGTGATTTTAAGCGACCAAGGTCAACATGAAGACAGACTCAAAGGAGGCTTTATCCTTGGCTGCTGAAGCGCCTGCAGAGGGGAAAACTTGTGACACAGGAAGTGGAAGTGGAAAGTCCCTCCCAGACGCAGGAACCAAGACGGAGTAATCCGCTGGTAAAAGAAAGCTCTCAAAGGCGCTTTCACAGCTGGGCTACCAGGAGACCTCGGAGCCCAGCTAGGCGCTGAGCAGGGGCATGGGCTGGGCTGGGCTGGGCTGGGCCGGGCCGGGCCGGGCCGGGCTGGGGATCTGTGCCCACTGCGCTGGAGACCAGACGAGCTCCAAGGAGCAGATCCTGGAGCCGCTGGTACTGGAGCAGTTCCTGACTGTCCTGCCCAGGGACTGTGGGCCTGGGTGTGGGGGCAGCGTCCAGAAAGTGGGGAAGAGGCTGTGATTTTGCTGGAAGATCTGGAGAGACCTTGATGGACCCCATGAAGTAGGAAGCGAGGTTTGCTAGGAGCAAAGGCCGAGGGTCTCCGGAGTCCTTGTATCCACTGCTTGTCTGCCCTGGATTTGGGCGCTCTAGAAAGACCCCGCTCCCGCTTCGGCCTGGAAGTGTTTGCTTTTAGTTACTAAGATTTCTTTGGTTTGTTTATGCATACAAGAACTGGGGTGTAGGCCAGAGGTGCTGGGATGAGAGGATTCACAGAGACAGGGTGGGGAGCAGAACAGGCAGATTTACTGAAATCTCCTGCTCAGGGGAGCAGCCGGGAGACAAGAGAGGTCTCCCGTGCCCTATGGGTCACTCCCTGGCTGGGGATCAAACTCAGGCCGCAGTGGCTGCGATGGCCTGATAGCGCTGAGACTGTAAGGTCCAGGGAGGCCCCTGGAAGTATTTCTGTAGACACTTAACTTCAGAGGGCAAAGTCGTCTCTCTGTCCCCCGATGGTACCCCGCAGACTCAGACAAGGAGCTGGCTCTCAAGAAACAGTGCTTCCAGGGCAGCTGACACCACCGAGCCTTCACTCTCCGCCTGGGTCAGGGCCCAGTTTTCACCTGCATGCTCTATCGGGAGAGACTTTAGGCTCCAGGAACCACCACGGGCTTCGTTTTACAAACTGGAAAGAAAGCGCTCACTGGCCACAAGTGGCACTCTCTTGCCCAGGTCGTACCAGCGATGGCCTCCGCCAGTCACCGCCAGCCCGGGTAGGCAGGGAAGGCCTGCTGAGGGCACCCAGGTAGAGACAGATGTCACAGCCACAAGGACTCCCCCATGTCCTGTTTGTGCGAGTTAAGGGTCACCTGGCCTTGACTCCTTTTCTTCACATTCCGCCTCTGCTGTTCTGCGCTGTGACCCTTCCTCCCTCTGCCACCCTCTGGTATCACAGTGTCCCTTGGGTGCCGTCTCTCTGCTCCTTGGAGTCCTGCCCGGCAGCTGGCTCCAGCTAAGCGCCCTCCTCCAAGCCTGCTCGCGTGTGCTCCTTTCAGCAACACCTCACACACCAGGAGTGCCAGACAGCTCTAGCCAGTAGTGATGGCCACTAAGTCGCGCAGCATCAGCGTCAGAGACACCCAGTGGTAACAGGTCTTTGTGGGCGAGTGGGTCTCGCCAGCAACAAGCAGTTCTTTGAGATACCGGGCCCAGGCCTTTTGTGCTCCTCTCAGGCAACGTCAGACAGGATCAAGGCAGTCTGGGGCAGAGTCCGGGACTTCTCTTCCCTCCTCAGGTCAGCTGCTGGGTGCTTCTTTGCTTTGCAGGTTGGAGCTGTCTTCTCTAGGGGCTGGTGTGGTCTCCAGCTCGCTCACATAGATCCTGGCTTATATTCTCTTCCAGGGTGTCTCGCCCACAAGTCTGATAGGACCAGTTTTCAATCCTGTGGCGGATGGACCACTTAGCAGTCAGCCCCGTAGCTCCTGACTGGTCCCTTACACAACCCAGGAAGTGCACTTTACATAAGGGGCTTTGAGGAGCAACTGCCACAAGCGACTTCTGGTGTAGCTGCAGGTTCCCAACCTGCTCCTGCAGGTTCCCGCTGCGGAGCTGTCTTGGACCCAGTAAAGAGTCTGAGTCAGGCAGACTTCTCTGAAGTTTGCCCTTCGGCCTCTCCCCTTCCCTCCTAATGAGGTCGGGAGCCTCAAAGTGACCCTCTCCAAGGAAAGTTACCTCTTGTATTCATTCATTCATTCATGGCACAAGAATTAAGCTTCCGTCATTCTACATGGCTAAGGTAGGACTTTCTGATTTTCAAACCCATGACCATCCCGGGCGCAATCACAGTGCAAGGTGTTTGCTCTGGTCCATCTCCCTTCCTGGAAAGCCCTCACCTCAGATAACGGGGCTCACTTCCTCACTGTACCCAAGTTTTCTCTCAACTCTCGCCTTCTTTAGTTTTCCACTTTATATTACAACCTGTCTACCCCAACCATAGCCTCATAATTTCCCTTGTCCTGTTCTATTTTTGCTTTATGTCACAGCCCCCTAATGTGTGGGTGTTGTATTGCAGTAGCCCTAGGTTTTGGGTTTTTGGCCTTTTGGGGCCAAAAGGTCTGAGAGCCTGGGCAGGCAGGGTCCATTCCATCCTTCCATTCAGCCTCCTGCCTTGTTGCCCTCTGTGGCCTTCGCTCCCCTGTTCTAGTGTTTCAGTCCCATCTCCTTGGAGTAGTATCCAGAATTCTCTCCAGCACAGTCTTGGGGGGGGGGGGCTGGTGATGGGCTGAGCTGCATTTCTCCAAAGAGGGCAAACTTCTGGAGTTACCTAGAGGAAGATGTTACTGTACTGGTCCTTCTCTTTCCAGCTTTCCCCCGTTGATGTAGGGTGACATCCTGTGATATGCACATTGTATTTCTGTGTACACGCTGACCTGTCGGCTCAGGAACAACACTGACCTGCTGATCTTGTTTCAGATGGAATGACACTGGAGATGGAGAGTTTGTGCTGAGGAAAGACTGTCCTCAGAGAGTGGAGTCCACATCAGAAAGTACTTTATGGATAGACCAGGACCCTCAACGTACAGAAGTAGGCCAGATAGAGAAGCCCGGGAGAAACCCCACAGAAAAGGGGGCGCACAAGTGTGACGAAGGTGGGAAAAGTTTTGCTCACAGTTCAGGTCTGATTCAACATCAAAGAGTTCACACTGGAGAAAGACCCTAGGAGTGTAATGAGTGTGGGAAAACCTTCAGCCAGAGTTCAGGTCTTTTTAATCACCGAGGCATCCACAACATACAGAAGTGGTACCACTGGAAGGCGTGTGCAAAAGCCTTCAGCCAGAGCGCAGGGCTTATCCAGCATCAGAGAATTCACAGGGCAAAAAGCCCTATCAGTGCAGCCAGGGTGAGAAGAGCTACAGTCGGCGATCGTTTCTCATTGAGCATCAGAGGAGTCACATGGGGAGCAACCTCACCAGTGCAGCAAGTGTGGGAAAAGCTTCAACCACCACTGCAACCTCAGCCGCCACCAGAAGACCCGCACAGTGGCTGAGATGGTCTAGTCCTGCCACACGCCGCTTTCCCAGATCAGTGGCCCCATCCGGTGGGCTAGGTTCAGACTAGAAACTGTCTTTCTCCCTGTCTCCACAAAATGTATTCAGAACAAGCACTGACTTACTGGGGCTTCTGAAGAGGAAGATTTTGGAGGGGGTTTTGAAATGCTCTTTTGCCTCTCTTTCCAATACCCCTTCTGGTTCTTACTAGTTCATACTTACTCCCCAATGACCTTACTTTCCTGATGGAGTAACAGCCTTGCTGTAGCCAACAGGGCTGGAAACTGTATCTGTGTTTAAGAGAGATCACACGGGACCTGCTGGTGGTTAGCAAGATGAGGGTGCTTTGTGTCCCCGTAACCAGGATCTAGGTGATGAACCCTCTTCATCTCGCTGTGTCCTTCAACACCCACCTTACCCTCTCTTGCGCCAGCCTGTGAGCTACATGCTTCAGTGTTTGCAGGATGTTTTCAGTTACTTAACGACAGTTGGTCCTGGAACAGGCACACTGTAAAGTGAGTAGTGGAAGAGGAATTGAAGACACAGAAGATCTAAGCCTCCGCGCCAAGGTTTAAACACTGGACTTCCTTATTTTCAGTAGTCCTTTTATTTTGATTACTTTAGACTTAAAAAATTTAAATTTTAAACCTTTACAAAAGTTGCAGGGTAGATGGAGTTTACGTATGCCTTCACACAACTTCCCCTAACATTAATATCTGCCGTTGTCTTTTCCGTTAACCCCGGGGCTGCTGACTCCAAATCCCAGTATTTTGATAGTGGTTCAGGCTTCATGTTGGTGACCTCAGAGCTCCTCCTTTACCCTTCTCACCTGAAACTCCTGTAGGGCTTTCCATCCCATCTTCAAGGTTATGGTTACCTGTGTACAGATCCAAGATACAGTAAGATGGAATGAAAGCTCCTAGTTGAAGTCTGTTCAAACATTTCTTCTTTGCTTGACTGAATTCGGGAGCAAAACGTTTCTGTGTAGATTTTGGTTGATGGCTTTATGCTTTCCTGTTTAATTTTTCCTGTTTATCCTGAGGTAAAGGTAAGGATCCAACTTTTTTTGACAGTTACCCAGAACCCCAACCTCAATAATAAGCCAATCCTCCAACGAAAAGAAAACGCAAGCCCAACAATTAACAAGCCTTTTTAAGGAAATGGTTGAAAGCCAAAAAATCAACTTTTTTTAAATATATCTTTACCTCATAATTTCATAATGGATACTTCTTGATATTTTTTAAATTGTCGAGAGGTCTTTGAAGTATACATGCACAAGCATTTGATGGTAGGTGTTTAAAGAATCATGTGGAAGCCTGCAGGCTAAACAATAGGTCACGACTATGAAGTCTCCTTTAGGCCCCTTCTCTTCTTGTCCCCTCCCTTATGTCTCGATCCAACCTTTATCCTGATGCTATGGTTTCCAGATTTAGGGCCTAGTCACTCTTTGGCTCTTTTCATTCCTAGAGTTCACCTGACTATTGTTTATTTTTTCCAAAGGGGCTTTAGACTCAGTTGTGGCTTTCAAAACAAAAGGCCGTCAGCACCTGCACTGTTACCACATATTAAATTTGTAGGCTGGGAGAAGTGAAGTCTGTATGACATTGGTCTTCCCATGAATGTCATTTGCTTATATGTGTATCTCGGGAATGGTTTCAACTTTTTTTAAAGTTTATTCTGGATTATCTGGTTTATTGACATCATATTCATTCTATTTTCTAATTTGTTGATGTTTGCAGAGTCCTGCTATTGTCTGAAAGGTTGATACTATAACCTACGGCAACTGCACTGGTACACCAGAACATAGAGATGTCGTTTGGGTTCTCCAGTACTGAAAATGTTGCTTCTGATTGTGGGGCAAGAGAAAAGAAAAACGCTGCTGCATTCATTCATTCCTGTCTTCAACAAATATTTATTAAGCACCTACTGTATGACTGGACATACTTGATGGGCTTGGGATACATGGTAAGACACAAAGATCCCTGCCTTTGTGGGGCTTTGTCTTTGTGGTTGAGGGAGTCAGACAATGGACATGATAAGTGTATTATAAAGTACGAGAGGTGATAAAACGATAATGTCAAAAGACAGCAGGATAAGATCAGGGGGCTAGTGTGCTAACAGGCCTAGCCAAGTAGGTGATAGAAGGTCGTCTTGAAAGGAAGGCATTTGAGTGGAATGCAAGGGTATTGGTGAAGAAGTTAGCCAAGTGGCTGTTTGCCTGTCACTGAAGAAACAGGGAGGCCAGTGTGTTGGGGCCAGGGGGGCAGCGGGAAAGGAGGGGAGACAGAGGAACAGGAAGGCATTCTGAAGAGCCCCATTGGTGTCTGCAAGGCTTGGGCTGATAATCTGGATGAAAACAGAAACCAGTGCAGGGTATTGCATGAAAGGATGTGTGAGCTGACTTAAATTTTAAAAGGATCGCTCTGGCTGGCCCAGAGGCGACTCAGGGATGGAGGAAGAAGCAGAGGTTCATGGGATGAACCAAGTTCACGCGGGGAGAGCAGTGGCACAGGCTGGCTGGCAGAAGTACAGATGCTGCTTTAGAAATGACCAGCTTCTAAATCTACTTTGAAAGCAGGACCACATTTGAAAACTTAGCACACAAGGGCAGAGGCGCTCGCAGAGTCAAGGGCGTGTTCACTCACTGTCAGCTGTACTCCTGGAGTGGCTCAGCACAGCCGTGACAAATGATTGGGTTTGCAGGCTGAATGGCTGTGAACATAGGAAAAGGGGGCGCAGGAGTGTTTGGCATTCTAGCAACAGGTGCTGAGGTAACTTGATTTATTTTAATAATACAGAAGAAAGAAACCTCGCTGAGCACGTCCTTTTCCAGATTCCCTCATCGAATAGGATGCCGGCAGGCTGCAGGTTTCTCGCATGTCTCACCCACGCCAGCTCCCGGCCGGCCGAGCCATCAACGGCTCTAGGAGACTGCAGACTTCCCCTCCCCGGCTCTCGCTGCTGATGGGAGGACAGAGGGAAACGGTGAAAAGCTGGAAGGTCACCGACCTCAAACTGCTGACTTTCTGACTGTTGTGCTAAGAATCCAGAGGAAAGGGATTTTCCCTCAAGGTTTTTGAAAACCTTGAAGTGCCTTACAGTTGGAATAAAAACAAGGATTTGCAGAGGAATGCAGAGGATTTGGATGACAACCCAATTCCTAATACAATACACAGAATAGGCAGGAATATAAGTAGGCATCCCAACATTTTCCTGTAGCAGCAACTTCGTTTCAAAATGTGCACAGTGGATACCGGAATACAAAGCTGACAGAATGACAGCTCCTCATCTGAACTCCTCGAATCCAGCCTGGCTATGATGAGGAAAAGGGTGTTTGGAGAAAAGCAGATAAACCCAGTTTACTCAGTTATTAGAGTTCTCATGAAAAACGGAGCTGGAACCACAGCTGACAGATAGAGTGAACAATGCTGTTATAGAGACTTTAAAGATGCTCTTTATTTAGAGGTTTTGGCTAGTGAAGTGTTAAATTTCCATTTCTCTACCAAGAGCAAAATTTTCAGCTGCCTTATGTAGCATTTATTTAGATACACAGATGCTCACAACTCTGAGGTAAACTGTCAGTCCATTTATTGTTTCCATGAGGAGAAAGCAAAGAAACCACCTTCTACAGGATTAGATACTTCTTTATCAAAACTGAGAACGCGTATAGAAAGGCTATTTACCAAAAGCTCTTTTTGTTCTATCCAAGTAGAAAAAATTGGCGATCACCAGCTAGTCCGTCATGTAGAGGGAGGCGGACTGGAGTTCTGCACGGCTTGTGTTGAGACCTGAGGTAGACTGGCTAGTCAACACTACATTCCTAAAGCCATTTTCAAAAGCATGACGGTGGCCCTGTATCCACTTTATATGCCGGATATGGAAGCCTGTGGGGAAGAGACAAAGGGAGAGGCCTGTGGTATTCAAGTCCCTAACTTGAATGGGACTTCTGGGAAGAACCCAGAAAAGGGACATGAGGACAGGAAAGGTCAGGGATTTCCTCAGAGGCAGACTCTTCTTGCAGAGCCTGAGAAGCTGGAAGCCAGTGACAGACAGACATCTAGGAAGAAGGTACCGATCTTTGAAGAGTTCATCAGGTGTTTGGGTGAAAAAAAAAGAGAAATCACAAAATTATTTTGATAAACGCACAGCACAGTCGTGACTGCACCTGTTGACCACCTGGATATTGTGGAACCTTTTCTGTCTGATACTCGGGATTCCCCATGAGCTACTGAGCACTCACATTTCCTCCTGCCCATATTCGAGCACCTCTCCTTGGCTGCCTCTGACCTGTCTGCCTGTCCTCAAAGCACAGAGCAGTTTTGAATACACGGATGACACCTGTTACCAGTAGTTGACGTGAAGCCTGTGAACTGCAAGAAATTAAACTTAGTTTGCAAAGCCTGGGTGCAGTGTTGGGTCCAAGTTGGGAGGAAGGTGTCCCGGTGTTCGTGGGGCCAAGATCAGGAGAGGGTGAGCAGTGAGCTGTTGGGCATCACAGAATTTATATCCAAATCCACAGTCAGTGATCTCTGCCTTGACTTCTATTTACCTGAACACGAAGGGTTACTCTCCAAAGAATGGAAAATGTGAAATAAGCAGCCAAGAGTGGGGTTCCATGGGTAGAGCTGTCTTATGATGTCTTATGCAGAAGGTTAAGGCATTCTTACTAGAAGGCTTAGGTTGACAAGAAAGATGGACCCCTCCCCATCTAACAGCCATATGTACTCGGCGATAAATACACTAGATTGGACTGTGTGAGGAGCGTGGGCTAACTCAGGCTCCTTTTAACCTCACTGCCGGTCTGTGCAGTCACCGCCAGAGCTCTGCCTTCTCCGGTTTCACTCCCACATGTGATGCCGTTACCGTAAGAAAGCACTTAGGACTGGAAGCAGCGGCACACACCGTAATTACAGCCACGCCCAGAGCCAGAGCGCAGGGTTCATTCACCTGTCGTTACAGACACCCTGGCTGAGCTTGGAGGACAGCGTGGAGATGGGGGTGGGGGAGAGGGTGGACTCCACGCAGTTGCTGCTTGCCGGAGTAGCCGGGCCAGTGCCCCAGCGTAAAGGCACATCAGGTATACCTAGGCTCCAAGATTCTTTTTCCGTTTGCCCGAACCAACAGTGAGCCTGCCCGGCCTGGGATGACTGCACAGCCACCTGGAATCTAGAACCTTTGGGAACTGGAGCAAAACACAAGTGGCCTCAGTGAGAAACGCCTTAGAAGTCTCGACCACATTGGGCTTCAGAATGCTGAGTGCCCTTTCACGGCGCATTTAGTAAATGATGAAAGCACCTGCAGGGAAGCCATGATGGGAGGGCGCACGGGGCCCCCGCCCATCACCTGGCGCAGGTTTCTGCCGGGCAGCATGTGTGATGTGCCCAGAGCAGCAGCCCACAGGCCACCGGGCTGGCGGGAAGCGCTGGCTGGGAGGACAGGCTGGCCAACGGGTGAGAGGAGCCATGGGGAGAGGGGCTTCCGGGGTGTCTGGGCGCCCCGCACCAGCCTCCCGGAAACCAGGTGCCTCCAGTCACCTTCCAGAATGCAGCGGCTCACCCGTCTTGGCCAGAATCCACTTCTCTGACCAAGAGCTTTGGCTGTCGGGGAAGGAAGCCCCCGGCTCTCGGGGGGCCGGTGCGGGGCGCCCAGACACCCCGGAGGGCTCAGCAGAGCCCGGCGGCGGGGGGCGCTCACTGGGGCGGGATTCCTCTCCCCACGTGGCTCCTCTGGTGCTGCGCTAGGTACGACGTCCGCGTGAAGCCCCTGCCGCACGCGAGGCACTGGTGCGGCTTCTCCCCGCTGTGGATTTTGTGATGCTCCAGCAGGCTGCAGCTCTGGCTGAAGGTCTTGCCGCAGGCCCCGCACGCGTAGGGCTTCTCGCCGGTGTGCGTGCGCTGGTGCTTGATGAGGTTGGAGCTGTGGCTGAAGACCTTGCCGCAGGCCCCGCACTCGTACGGCTTCTCGCCGGTGTGCGTGCGCTGGTGGATGACCAGGGCCGAGCTCCCGATGAAGGTCTTGCCGCACGCCTCGCACGCGTACGGCTTCTCCCCGGTGTGGATCCGCCGGTGCTTGGTCAGCCCAGAGCTCTGCGCGAAGCTCTTGCCGCACTCGCGGCACACGTGCCGCCGGCGCCCCACCGGCCTCTGCGCGCCCCGGGCCGGTACTGCGCGCTCAGCCTCCGCGCAGGGGGACAACTGGCCCGCAGCTTCCCCCGGGGCGCCGGGGCTCTGCCCAGCCTCCTGCTCCGGGGCGGCCTCCTCCCCAGGCGAGCCGGTCAGCTGAGGCCGCAGGTCCCCACCTGGAACCACAAAAGGCAGCAGCTGGCACAGCGCCCAGGAAAGCCCCGTGGCCAGTGCCGGGCAGCCGGGCAACCCTGGTCATGACCGCCAAGGCCGGCGGTGCGGCAGGAACAAGGAGGGGAGGACAGGAGTGCTGGGGAGGGGGCCTGAGGATGCAGCTGGCCCTGGCGGGGTCCAAGTGGGATGAGAGCGGAAGGAGAGGCAGGCGAGGCCGGGCCAGGCTGGGCGGGCGGCGGAGGCTCTGGGCTCCCAGACAGGGAGGCGCCCGCGCCCCAGGCCACACTGGGAGGACCGGGCAGGGCTGCGCAAACAAAGCAGGTGGAGGCACTTCTGGAGGCTTCTGGAAGGAACAGCAATGTGTGCGCTGGGAACTGCGCGCTCTCAGTGACAGGCCGGCCACTGTGCCTGGGGACCTGCGGGGGGCAGGGGCGCTGGAGCGGAGCTGTGTGACCCTGACCTGGGCCAGCACCCGCGCGTGAGCCCTCCCCGAGGTCCGCCGCTGCATTCGGGAGCCCCAAGCTGACCATCAGCTCACACGATCGTCGTCCCCGTCCCCCAGAGGCCCCTCACTGGCCACTGCTGCGTGGCCGTGGGGAGGGAGTGGACGGGGGGGGGGGCACATACCTGGAGCCAGACCCGCACCTTCTGTGAGCTGGCGCTGCTCCACCCCTCGCCCACAGGCGCTGGCGGGGGAGGTGCACAGGGCCGGGCTCGGAGGGGCTGAGAAGCCAGTCACAGGCTGGCTAACAGCTGCGTGTCAGAAACCGGGTTTCTGGCCCAGGTGGAAACGGAACCTGCTTCTAACAGCCCAGGAGGCTCGAATACGCGAGGACGCCGAGACAGCGTCTGAGAGCGCAGGGCCCCACTTACCCCGGGGGCCCGGGCTGCCGCAGCCCTGCCTTTCCTCTCGGGGCGCGTCCGGCTGTGTCCATCCGGGGGGCACAGGCAGGGCCACATCTTCCACTTTCAGCAGCCCCTGAAACAACCAAAGCCCACCGAGTTCCTCCTGCCCGGGATCACTGCCAACGCTGCCTGTGAAGACCGAGTGCTTCCAGGAAAGGGGCTTGAAGCAGCGGGTGGGCCGCACTGGCCCTGCTGACCCCCCCTGTGGCGCGGCCACGGCGCTGAGGGCCACTCTTGGGAAGTGGGCATTCCTCTGACGGAAGGAATCGGCGACCGAGGAGCCGCCCTTTGGCGCAACTCTAAGCATCGGAGGTGAAATGGGCCCCGGAACTGTCAAGCCTGTCGAATGACTCGATGTGCTTTGGCAAATGAGGGGAGGAGCCCCGTTATGTTAGCTCAAAGCATAGTGAGTCTAGGCCTGAGTGGACAGGACCCAGGGGGAGTGGGCACTGCAGGGCTTCAAACGCTGAGGCTTTCAAGCCGGAAGCCAAAGACTGGGTTAGAAATGAAAGTGCAGGTCAGGTAAAAACTGTGCCCCGGATCAGCTTCAGACTGAAAGCACAGGCCTCGTCGGCCTCCAAGGTCAGCTTCCTAGAGGGCAGGGGCGGGTCTTTCTCTCCCTACAGTCGAGGATGCCTTTACAAAAACTAATGCACCAGCACAACAAAATCTTTTATTTGTTTTAACTGCCCTTGCTGAAGAAACCCCCGCTGATGAACAACTTGACGGGGTATAGGTCAGGGGAGCACACAGTCCCCCACCAGGACTAAAAGAGGAGACCTGGAAAGCGGGCCCCAGGAGGCCAGAAGAGGACAGAGTCAGGCCCTCGGGCCCCAGGGCGAGGGTGGCGCGCAGGGAGAAAGGGGTGTCTGGAGCCACAGCAGAGAGGCGCTGGGCGCCTGGGGAGGCGGGGTCCAGCTCACCTGGGACTCTGGGGTGGGCCTGGCTGCTACCACCGCGTCTCCTCTGCAGCGCCCTGCCGGGGCCCACTCAGGAACCTGGGGAACTGAGAAGGAAAGAAGCTCTGGCGAGATCTCCCCGGCATGCACTCCTGCCGCAGAGCATGCTCCTAAGCTGGAACGTGCATCTCTCTCGAGACGCGGACAGAGTGCACTCCGCAGGCACAGCAAACACGCCCGAGGAGCCTCGGCAGGGACGTGTGTTGCAGGCGCAAACCAAACCAAGCTCGCCGCTGGAGAGTCGCGGTCTTGAACTGTATGAGAGAAGGGACGAGAGGGCTCGGGTTGCTGCGAAACCTCTTTGGTAGCCGTTAGGGCTTCTCCCGCTCTCATATTAAAAGATTAAGGGTCAGAAAGGCTGGGCAAGCTGGCAAGGAGGGAACGGGAATCTGCTCCCGTGGAACCGACTCAGGTTTGAGAAAAGTGAAGATGTCAGGCTTCCCTCCAAGCGATGGACTCAGCAGGAGACAGGAAACAAACCCAATGGGCAAGAGACTGTCGAGAGGATGATGCCTTGGCTGCCGTCCGCTGTGGTCCTGGGGGACCTGCCCAAGGCCACAGGGGAGCTTACGGCGTTTCCTGAGGTGAGCACTCACATGTTCTGCTGCAAGGCTAAGGACTTCTAGGATCTGTGCTCTGTGACGGACAACAGCACTACAGTCTCTGGAATATGCTCATTAGCTTATTTACATTCTTCGTAGCACTTCCGGATATCTAAAAATTACATTACTGGGACGGTAGCTTCTCTACTAACACTAACAAGTGTTAGTGCCACTGCACACTTACTGATGACACGGGTTACCACACACGAATAGAAATTAAGCAAACTGGTAAAAACAGTCGACCCAGGGGCCCTCCCTGGTGGCGCAGCAGGTTAAAGCACAGCACTAAGAAGCTGAAAACCACTTCTGCATGACTCCGATCCCCGCCTGCCCCGGAGGTGACCACATGGTGTGGCAGACCTCTCCTGGCCCGCCCGCTGCTCCCCTCAGCAGTGGACTTTGTTGATCTGCCTGTTCTGCTCACCACTCTGTCTCTGGTGAATCCTCTCACCGCCCCGAGCCTCTGGCCAGTACCCCAGTTCTGCACGCATAAATAAATAAATGTTTAAAAAAAAAACAATCGATCCATTTCAAACACCAACTTCCATAAAGGCTCATGATGTCTAGGCTTGGGTAGGAAAGCTTCTCACCACAGTTTGCAATTTCCCTTTTAATCTCAGTCTCAAAGTAAATTAGCCCTGTGACAGGCACCTGAAGTACCTTTCAACAGAGTTGTCTTTTAGGCAGCCCTTACATGAAGAGGGGTAAAGTCTGCACTGGATAATCCTCACCTCGGTCTGGGGAGGCCTGGGGTCCCAGAGAGTCACGCTTCAGCAGAGGCTTCATGGGCTGGAACGGCGTACTTTGTGACCTGGGAGCTGGTGTCCACACGGCCATCTTGTAACAGAGGACTTCTCGGCCCTGGTCACCACCTGGAACCTAGAAGCCATTCACTTATATTCCTGAGACACTGCTAAGGTGCCTGCCATGAACATCCAGGCACTGTTATTAAGAGCTTTGTGAGTATTAGCTCCCTCTGCGCACATAACAACAGCCTTATCACTATTTTGTCGTGGGGAAACTGAGGCATAGAGCTTCAGCAGGGGGCCCAAGCTCACCCAGCTAACACTGTGCCTGCGAGCAAGGCAGGAGGGCGCCAGGGCCCAGGCACACAGTCATCACTGAGCTTTTATGAAAACTCTGGGAACGGGTGCAAAGAGAACCCTCATCTTTTCTCACCTGCAAAGTGATGATAATGAGTTCAGGGTTTGAGGAACCAGTGCGTAAGATCATAGGACATGAAGTCACTTGACACAGGGTCTGGCACAGGGGACAGTCCCATTCAGCGGCACGTTTGTAGTGAAGCTGTTTTCAAGGCACGTTCATGAGCTTTGATTCGCACAGGTGAGCTCAGAACTCCCCACGTCACCTATAACGCATGAAGTGCCAGAAGCGGGAGATCGGAAAGGATTTCTCACTGTTTCAGGACTAGCAGGCTCTGGGGTCAGCTGGAGAACCTTGGATGCCCAGTTACCAGTGAGAAGACTCTATCTACCCCAGAGGGAGAGACAGGGCACAGGATTATGCAAAGGGAGCATAGTCTCAGGACCACCCCGCCACCCCGGGCTTCCAGCTGTGGCCCACAGGTTCCTTCCCAAGTAGCTCCCCAACCTCAAGAGGAGGAAACTTTATTACTAGCTTCTCGGAGGAGCTGAGTATTTCCTTCCACTGGGAGTGGATTCCACAGTGTGGCATAAGCACCCGCGAACTGTGTCACCTCGAGAAACTGCGGCTGCTTCACAGCACGCGGCCACCAGGCAAACACCGTGAGCCATGCGTCACCATCACACACTCCCCTGCTCTTTCTTGCTTGTTTGTGGGTTCATCTTAAAAGCATGGAACTGCACCGCAAATTCGCTTAGTGCTTTGCTCGCTGTATGTCAATATAACTAAGAAATGCTCCTAAGAAAGTGCTATGGAGCCCTATTTATTATGACAAGGGGTCCCAGGCCTTCACCTCGCTGCCCAAGCGCTTCCTGGCTCAAAGAGCCTGAGAACGGCTGGACCGTAAGGAGCTGCCCCTCCCTGGGGCCGGAGACTTAGGAAGGCGCAGCCGGTGGCCGGACAGACACCAGCCTCTACCTGCGGCCGGGGCGGGTCCCGCGGGCTCTCCAGATGCTCCAGCAGCAGCACCGCCTCCTCCCCGCTCTCGGGACGCTGCCCCCGCACCCAGGCCTGCAGCTCCCCGGGCAGGATGGTCAGGAACTGCTCCAGCACCAGCAGCTCCAGGATCTGCTCCTTGCTGCGCGTCTCGGGCCGCAGCCACAGGCGGCACAGCTCCCGGAGCCGGCCCAGCGCCGCCCGCGGCCCCGCGGCCTCGGGGTAGCTGAACCCTCGGAAGCGCTGGCGGGAGCGCTCGGGGCCCAGAGCGGGGTGGTCCGGGGCACCGGCTGCAGCAGCCGCGGAGGTGCGGTCCTCCCGCTCCACCTTCACGACCAGAACCCCCGGCCGGTCCTCCGCGGAGGGGGCGGCCAGGCCTGCACCCGCCTTGCGTTCTCCGGCCATCCCGCAGTCCCGGGCGTGCCCGTAGCCGAGGGCTGAATTTCTACGGCGACGTCTCGGGAGCCGGGAAATCACCGTCTGCCACCGGCCCGGCGTC